TCAGATGAACATTGGCCAGGTATGGACACAGCAAGAATATTATTAGCCCTTAAACAAGATCGCTGGAATGCTATATTCGAGAGTATTTAGCCATTGCTCACTATTCAGATCTTCCTGACGGTGTTCTAAAGGAATTCTTTTGTGAAGGCCTCAATCAACCTTTAAAAACCAAATTAATCGGTGAGGGTCCCCGTTCATTGTTAATTAATTTTTGGAGTATGCTCTGTTTAACTGTGGGTGTAGCGGAGAAGGAACGCGGCATTTCATCCGTACAGGCGACTGCAAGGTTTAGTCAACTGCAAGCTCCGGGACATTTAATGTATACTGATCGCTACTCCAGTGATTAAACCCGCTTGTGAAATGGCAGCCGTACACATGATGGAGGCTACCACAGAGTCCGTTCACAAGACGGCGGCATTAACAAAACCACGTCAAGTCACAGCTGTTCTTCCTGAATCAAGTCAAGTTGCAGTTGCTCTCCCTAAGTCAAGTCAAGTCACAGATGATCTTCCAGAGTCTCAACACGTCCAAACTGTTCTTCCTGAATCAAGTCAAGTCACAGTAGCTCTTCCTAAGTCAAGTCAAGTCACAGATGATCTTCCAGAGTCTCATCACGTCCCAGCTGTTCTTTCTGAGTCAAGTCAGGGCACAGCTGATTGTCCAGAGTCTCGTCACGTCACAACTGATCATCAAGAGTCACGATAGGTCACAGCTGGTCTTCCGGTGTCTTGTCATATCCTGTCTGTTGCACCCAGATCGTCAAGGTCAATTCTTCAGTATCCCAGACTGGCAGCCAGCATGGAGGACCCACCGCTGGGGTCAGTACGTGCAGCTGGTTATCCCCAAACACACTCACCTTAGCCCTCTTGTTCCTGAACTGATTCCCGTCTGTAGCGCTTCCCATAATGGGGATCGCTTTATGGAGTGTTTGGGCTGCATACACCACCACTGAAACTCTAGAGTCTGTGGCATCTATTATGATTTCTCCAGAGGTGGCTACTGACGCTGCAGAAGCTCCCGAGGGAGTGGGGCTCGCTGTTGTTTCAGGCGATGGCATCGGCTGCGGTTTCTCCAGAGGTGGCGGCATATGCTGCAGAACCTCCCGAGGCGGCGGCGCTCGCTTCAGCTTCTTGCACGGTGGTGGCGCCCCACAATGCACTTTCAGTCTGTCATGTCGCGGTTGAAGGGACCGTTGCTGAACTCCATATCTGTCCTGTTAGAGAGAATGCTAATGATGCCCTTCCTGTTTCCTGATGTCTATGTTGCGACTGCAAAGACTGCCTCTGAACTTGCTCAGTGCCCTGTATCGGTCAAAGAGGCCATTCCTGAACTTTTGGCTTGCACTGTCCCATTCAAGGAGGTCATCTGTGAATTCTCTGTCTGTCCTGTCACGGCTACAGAGGCCGTTTATGAACTCATGCCTTGTTCTGAACCGGCCATGGAGGCCAATTATAAATTGTCGTCTGATCACATTACAGACTATGAACTCTTGTCCTGTCCCAACCCGGTCGAAGAGACCGTCTATGAACACTTAACCAAGCCCGTTATGACCACGGAGGTCACCAGTGAATTTGGTCCATGTCCTGACCCGGTTAGGGAGACCGTCTTTGAACTATTTGCCCACTATGTCACTGCCAAGGAGGCTGTTGAACTTTCTAACTGTCTTGATACGGCCAAAAAAACTATCTGTCTGTCCAGTTTCAATCACTGAAGTGTCTCCCAGTCCAGTTTCAGTCAATACATCCAATTTTGAAGTGTCTGTCTCTTTAAAGGGGTCATATGATGCGATTTCAAGTTTTCCTTTCTCTTTGGAGTGTTACAAGCTGTTCGTGAATAGATAAGATCCCTAAAGTTGCAAAGACTAAAGTCTCAAACCCAAAGAGATATTCTTTATAAAAGTTAAGACTGGTCCACGCCCTCCTAAAACTCCAATCACAAATGCAGACATGGTTTTATGTTTACGCAGCGCGATACCCAACGCGTAAAAAGACAGTATAAGTCATTATAATCAGTAATTATATCCCCACTGGATGCAACAAATGCCTCGTTTGTAATGGGTTTTATTGGTTTTGTCTCGTTGCTCCGGGACACGGCATCATATATGGTAAGGGGTGTAACATTTACTTGTGGTATTCGGCCAATCACTTTTAATTTTTACTTTGTGTTTGTTAAATGAGTTTAAATATAGGCAATATGTATGGCCTACATATTAAAAACGATATATAATACGCTATACTGTAAATATAATATAAATAAAGGAAAATAAAGGAAGTTATTTAAAGTTATTTTTAGTAAAAAAAAAAAAATAAATAAACAGACACAGTAAATACAATATAGATTTGGAAATAGAAACACATTTACAGTGGACCCACTTGTTTTTGTTGAGTTCTGTTTTGTTTCTGAACAGATTCACAGGAATGTTCATATCCACTCTCCATTATTGTTTGAACAAAAATAGTATCAATAATACAAATAATATCTAATGTATAATGTATCTTATTAACAGTGTTGGGAGGAGTTAACTGTAAAGTGACACTACTAGCTTAAAAACATTTTTCAATAGCTTGACAGTAGCAACTTCTAAAATTTTCAAATTACCAAATAGTGGTGTAGCGACACAAAACACTACACCTATGAGTATGAAAAATGATTTACACTTTTGAGTCAGTCCTTTACAGTTAATTTTTCAAACGATAAGCAGAACAATCTAAATTGGTTCGAGATTCAGATTGAATCATTCATTCATACTGAAGCGTTAAACGGTCCGGTGATAATTTATAAGGCAGAGAACAAAAAGAGTGGTGGATGAAGTGAAATAATTTACCTACAAACCACTAAGAACAATCCTGGAATATATGCAGCCGTTTAAAAGAGATGAGAAAGAGCTTTCAGGTAAGACTGAATGTGCAGCATGTGATTGTGAACAAGTGGGGCAGGTAGAAACATACTTATACACCCCATGTTTTCGGACATGCATTAATAACTTAATGCTGTTAAACTGAATGTACAAAAACTATTTGCTGAAATATCCATAACAACACTGAAAGAAGAGTATGCAGCTTATCTTTCAATCAGATTTACGTTCATTATAGCAACAGCACTCCCTGTGCATTTTCTTTCTAAATCATTATTCCAATCATTAAGAATTTACATCTAACAATGGACTACAAAAACATGATCTCCCATTTATGTTTTTCTCCAATTAATTATTTTTAAAAATAAGTAAAATAAAATACTATGGAAGTCAGTGGTGCCCATCAGCTGTTCGGCTACCAACATTTTTCAAAATATCTTCTTTTGTGTTCAACAGAAGAAAGAAAACATACAGGTTTGGAACAAGTGGAGGGTGAATAAATGATGACAGACTTTTCATTTTGGAAGTGAACTACTCCTTTAAGTTTTAAAGCAGCTTCCCTAACACTGCTCATTAACAGCATTATTGGACACATTCACTTTCAGAATCAATTAATCAGTAAAGATAATGTTAATATAAAATTCTGGGGTCACTGGGATGGTATCATTTAAATACTTATATGTACTCTTAAGGTACACTGTAAAAGATGATGCACTGTTAACTTAGTAAAATTACGTTCATCTTACTTATTTGTTTCTGCTCTGTTCACATTACTCAGTTTGATCGAGTTTTTATTACTTTCTGTTACTTAAAGCATTGCAATTAAGTTCAATGAACTTAATTTCTTTGTGTTCAATGAAAAGGTCGAACATGTGGCTCCTTTGTGCATGTGTTATAGACAGAGGTGCACATAAGAATTTCAGCCTGGTTCTCAGATCGTCACACTACACATAAGTGTGACCCATTAAATAAATAAATATATATAACTTTAAATAATAAATAAATAATAGAGATGATAATATTATTAAACTTTATTTAGTTTTTTAAAAATAAAATAATAAAGTGTGATAATACTATTATAAATAATTTTACATATTTTAAAATAAAAAGGGAGTATTAAATACAAATACACTTTTTATATAGTAAACGTAAAAACAAAATGCTAATATTTACTTATTTTTTAAATATGAATTGTCATCATTTTTAAACTTAAAATCAGCAGGCTTTTATTTTGGCGGGTTGCCGGCAAGTAAGTATATGCGCTTCCGACAGACGCGTGCGAGCACGAGCACTTGTGCCACGGTGGGCATTTTCAAAATACTTTTGTGTGCGTTTTTCGTATTGTCAAACGGCGGTAAGTTATTTACTTCCACAGTCCATAAATATGAACGTAAAAAACACTGTAATGGTAATGTTTAAAGTGTCGTCAGGTGGTAACTGAAGCAAAATAAACCCTTTGAAATTAGCCGCTAAATTAACTTGTCTCATTCTGAAGGGAAGTAAGTTAAACATGATGGCGCAAGCAACCGAGAAGACGGAAGATATTAATTCTGTATCTTACCAGAGACTGAAGATAATACCACGGCGATAGATTATGTATGTATTTGAATTTATTCTTCGTTGAGGACGCTTTACCTCTAACCTACAGAGGATGAGACCCAGCGGCCTTCACTAACATGATGCAGTTTGAAATTCTCACCGTAACGGTCATCTGACAGACGGACGGACTCACTGCAGTCACCCGGATCCAGTCTGTATCCAGTCCAGATGGAGGAGACAACTCTATAGCCCTGAATTTCAGCAGAGACCATGTCAACTAGATGAGTCCCAAAGACAGATCCCCAGTGAAGACCTCATCAACTATACGGCCATTGGCACAAAACCTCAACAAAGACCACGATGAAAAACACCATGTTGGTTTGTCTGGCCAGAGGAGAACTGCCCCCCACCCCCCGACCAATGTTGCCAACTTCTTTCAATAGAAAGTAGCTAAAGCCAGTTTGAAAAGTCGCTAAATGTCGCCAAATCAGTCTCAAGTATATTGTAATTACACAAATACAATAAGTTGTGGTTACTTAATTTTTTCAAGGCAATGAAATAACACACTGAGTATAGTCCAGAAACACACACACAGACACTATTTTGTACAAAAACCAATTATTGAACTTTATTACATTGAGTTTTTTTCCTGCAACATTTTTTTATTTCAGTTTTCTTATTAACAAATAGAAAACAGACTGTGTATACAACAGATCGAACCTCTACAGCACTAATCATTCACAAGGTAAAAATGAACTTTCCAACATATTCTGAATGTATGGCCAGGTCTCCCTTTAACATGCCGGTTGTAATTGAGCAGGCATGAAATGTTGTCCTGTAGGAAGTGTTTTTAATTTGCTGCCCCACCCCACCAGAGGGGACCGCCAAATACCTGGGGTGCGTAGATACTACAGTAGATAAAACTTTTGTACCATGAATAGATTCACACACAGCAGTCTCTCGTGTCGGTATATCAAGAAAAGTCCAGGATTACGTTTTGAGAGAATTATGGACAATAGAGCAGAAGCTGTTTATATACTGTATAATAGTATTTATATTTATCCATAATTATAAATTTATGTCTATATATTTCTGTATAAAAAAGAAGAGTTGGATTAAACAGAGCTGACTCTCCCTTGGGGGGAGTGGTTTATACTGTACAGGTGCCAATGGCGATTGGTCTCATTTCAATATCAGGTCTTCAAATGTCACGGAGAAGGGGCACTTTTCGTTAGGATTGCGTTCAGTTGCCGGTAACGTCCCTCTCGGTGAATGCGCTCCAATCAGAAGGTCATAATTTATTCCTCACAAATTGCATTTAACCCTTACTGAGTTCTGTACAGTGCCGATTTTATTAGTTAGTTGATTTGCTTTCCCCTACAAAAAGCTTTTCTTAATTTAGTACCACTAACCCAAATACATACGTCGTGCAGTTGGAGATTTTTCTTTTATCGAGACAGAGACAACATTAAAGGCTTCTCCAAAAGTGAACCCACTCATTTTAGCCCAATAAGACCAATTATACATAACGAAAAAAAGTCAAACAAAGTCAAACCATCAGCAGCTTAGAGAACAGTGGTTCTCTGGTATTAGTATCAGGAACATGTTAAAAATACATGTCCTTGTGCTAAAATAACCTATTGTGAAGAAAATAAAAAATAAAACAGTACCACATAAGGAAAAGGTAGACCCATGGAAAAGGCCATTAAGACAAAAGATGTTAAAAGATGATTTAAAAATATAAACACAAATATTCTAAATAAGAATAATAACAATATTGTCATACTGGATTTTTAAAAATAATAACAAATGATAATCATGATTTTAAAAAAAAGAAGAATGAGTGCTACCAGTAGCCTTCGACTGTAGTGTGGGTTGGCGTATGCTAAGGAGAAACTAGAATGTAGTTTTTTTTTTAGATGGTGCTTCTTGAAAGAGAGTTGTCTACATTTCTTAAAGCAATCTCTTGGTGCCAGTCTATAATGGACTGCTGTGATTGGTTAACCAGCCACTGGATAGCCTGCCCTTCCCACCCCCCAGATCTCTGTACAGGATGGGGAATGGTGGCTCAGAAGGAACACTTGGTGCACTCCTGAAGAGTTGTACCAGAGGGCTGTGGTCCAGGAGTGGTTACGTTGCATAGTGATCAAAGCTCCCCAGGTACTCCAAAGCGGCTCTGTAGCACAGCTGGTACTGGTCCTGCAGGGGAAAAATCAGCTTGTGTCAGCGGGAGAAACAATCGCCTCAACTAATAACACGGAGTTGGTGACAAAGAGCTCACGCTCCATATCAATTGCTGCTAAAGCTGCTGTCAGTGACTTTTTGGAACACCATGTATGAAACGTCCCTGAAGACACCACTGAAATAGGTGAAAGGTGTCCTGAGAAATAACACTTTGTTGTCTCTGTGCCCCAGCGGCTCTACAAACAACATTAGCATGTTAGGCTATGAGGAGGCTGTTGGATAACTATTAATTACTTATCAGCAATTCTAAGTCTTCTAAGTCTAAATCAGCAGCTTTAATTGCATATTGGAGTGGTATTGCAATTTTGGGGCAGTAGGACAGTACCTCTGTCTGCACCATGGCAGGCCTTTGTGTGCGCAGGGTCTTAACGGTCTGGAACAGATCCACCACACCCTCATATCTCATCCTCTCTAGGACAATACTTAGAGTGATGAAAACACCTGTTCTTCCCACTCCAGCACTGAAAAACAACAGCATCTGTTAACTTAACACCTGTTACACAAGGGTGAAGGATCTGTGTGACACATAATACTGAAGTCTACAGTGTAATGCACTGAATCTGGGTGTTTGGGGTTTGTGAGGCTGTGATAGAAATGAAAGGAAATAATGAAATTAATCTAGTTTAAAAAACAAAATGTGCAAACTTTATTTACTAAAAATATTAAATTAAATTCTACAATTTAAAAATGTGTCAATTTAATACATTTGAAAAATAATAATATAAATGATTATTAAAAACTGTATTTGTTACTTATTGACAAGTTAAAACATTACAAAAATAATAATTATATCAAACATTTTAAATATAAAATTTGTAAAAAAAGATTGTGTAAAATTGTTTATTAAAAGTTTTTACAATTAAAAAAAGCGTACATTACTAAATAAAAAATAATAATTAAAAATGATTAAATTAAGAGAAATTATAAAATAAAAAAATGAAATGTTTAAAAATTAGTGCTGTCAAAAGATTAATCGCGATTAATCGCATCCAAAATAAAAGTTTTTGTTTACATAATATATGTGTGTGTACTGTGTATATTTATTATGTTTATATAAATACACACACATGCATGTATATATTTAAGAATGTTATGTTTATATATTAAATATATTTATTTATAATATAAATTATGTGAATATAAATATATACATGTCAATATTTTCAAAATATATACTGTATGTGTGTGCATTTATATATACATAATAAATATACACAGCACACACACATATAATATGTAAACAAAAACTTATTTTGGATGCGATTAATCGCGATTAATCATTTGACAGCACTAGTAAAAATAGAATTGTTTATTATTAAAATAAAATAAAAAACTAATAAAAAAAAATATGCAATTATAATAATTTGTGTAACAATATGTTGTGAACTCTGCATAAACTAAATGTATCCATCACTTTTTGTGTGTAAAATGTTTATTTGGTAAGTAGCTGTGTAATAAGCAGGATAATGTGAAGTCATTTGGTCATTATTACAAAATAAACCTTCAATAAACCTTCAGGATGATCATCTGCTGATCATCTGACTGTATATGATCCCTACACATATTTTGCTGTCCGTATTTATATTCAGACTTCAGGTCAGAGGTCAACTTACCTGCAGTGCACAGTGATTGGTCCATCCTGCCCAAACTGCTCCTTGGTTTTATGAACTTGGCCAATGAAATCGATGAACCCCTCGCCAGTTTTTGGCACTCCCTGCTCCGGCCAATCAGTGAACTGGAACTGCCGAATGGTTCTAGACTGACCGTCCTGAAGGGAGTAAAGAATTAACGGTTTATTAGGCTGCTGGTTTCACTCACACAAAGGCACACAACAGCTGGACTCCTCCGCAGGAAGCCTCTGTCCATATGCTGACTGTATGACCGTGCGTGTACGCGATTTAGCTACAAGCTTATTAATATTTATAGTCGCCAGAAAGCTCTGAAGTCCAAAGCGAGACGCAGGATGTGAGAGTGCCATGTTGGTGTGAAATATCTGCCGCCAGCAACAGATTGCTCACACACCCCAGCGGTGCCCTCAAGTACCATACTGAGTAACATTCGGATAAAAAAACAAACACAAATAACACTCCTCTGGCAGATTCCTACAGGTGATAGATGCACGTACCCTGGCATCTGTGACTTTAAACTCTCGCAGGATGTACTGGGGCATGTTGTATTCAGCCATGGGATCCACCACAAAGTACTGATAGCGGGCAGAGCGCTCAGCTGGCCAGTACTGATGACACTTCTCCTGCAGGATGGGGAAAAATGGGAGTAAATCTTTGAATAAAACACCAGGATGCGAGTTAAAGGGAGGAAGGTGCTCTTACCCGTCCCATCTCTCTGAGTTTGGTCAGCATCACTACAATAGTGGAATTGTGCTCCCATAACATCCTCCAGAAGTCCTCAGTGGTCTCTGCTAGAGGGCCCTGAGTGGCAACATAGGCCTTCTGCTGTCTGTGGACACACAAAAGCGTCTTTTGAGTCCATGATGCAAAACAGGCAAATATACCCAGAACGATCACATGACTATGACAGTGGCTATACAGCTATGCCTTAACTATATCTGAAATGGGAATGGATGGTCAACTAGTCATTCAATAACGAATTGGTTGGTAGTCAACTAGTGGATTCATTTTTTTTTTTCTAAATTACTGTAGAGTCACAATTAGTGTTTTTTTTTTAGTATCATCTATATACTATAGTATTTTTTTAATATTTCAAATTTAGTTTCAGTTTTAACTATTCTGTAATATGCTTTTGTAATTTGTATTAATTTTAAAAATATTTCTATTTACGATTTTTTTTTTTACTTTATTTTTAGCTTTTATTTATTTGAAAGTTTTAGTAATTTTAGTACATTTTTAGTAGTTATTTTATTTCAATTAGCTGCCAAGGCAGTTATATTAAGTTAATGTTTTTTCATTGAATATTCTTATTTTATTTCAGATTTTGTTTAGGATTTTGTTTGATCTTTTTTCTTGTTGAATATCTGTCAGTTACCCTATTAATGGATGCAACTGACATTTATATATAACTAAGAAACTAAGCATTTTTATTTTGGAAAATCACATATCCTACTACCGGACAATATCAATTAGATTAGTGTTGTAAAAAAGTCTCTGTGACAGCTCTAAACTCAAAACAGTAAAAAAGGGGAGCAACCCGCCCTTTGTTGAAGGAATGGTGGAGGTCTAATTTAGTGGCTGGCAGAAGTTGCCAAACAAACACTTACATTACGTTTAAAAATGACAAGTCTCCGGTGGATCTATATTCTATAATCTGCTGTTCTAGCCATATATATATAATATATATATATAAAGCAGTTCCATAAACGACAATGTAAATTCACACAATCTCACTAATTTGTGGACGCTTAATCTTAAGCAGCCCTTAATGTCGATCATGGATCAAATCGATCCACCATGGCAAACAGCGAATATATTTGTGCTGTTTAATGCATTTGAGACGTTGTGTTTTCCTCAGTGCATAACTGACATGTCACGAGTATATTTTTTAAGTCATGCAAATATATCCATTTTGCTTGCTGTCAGGAGTGGGCGAGGCATAGCGTGTGAACGAGCGCTGCTGCGCACATGCACGTTAAACAGACGGAGCACAAAGGGACTATTGTAATGGGTAAATAAAATGTAAGCTAATACAGTCCTAATTACTAAGCTTACTACTTAATTACTACTTAATGTGTGTTTCTTATAGCAGTTAAAATGTAGTTTTAATTTAGTGAAGCCTGCCCTGGACCAGGTTAGCATTCCAGCATACGTTGCCACAGTGACTGATTTTGATCTTTGTTAAATTTGTTTTATGGAACCAAATCATTTGACAGTGAGTCAGACTAACTGAAATAAGCCTGGCCTATTTGGTAAACTTGTTTTATGAAACAGGCCTCGAGGCATTAGAAGTCAGTAGTCACATAAGTTAATTTATGATTTGCTGTCTGTCTGAACCAAAGAAATAAATGCGATCATATTTTTTCCATTGCATCGCATTGCATCGAATCGCATTTTGTTGAATCGGATCGAATCGAAATCGGATCGCACTGCATTGTAACAGGGGTGAATCGTATCGCATCGCATCGCATCGGTAGCTACTTCATATGTATCTTCAATGTATCATATCGTTGGCTATGCATCGAGATGCGTATGGCATCTGCCTCAGTTATGGAGATGCACATCCCTAATATACATAGAGTTTGGGTGTTTTATTAACATGGCCACTGGGTGGCAGCAGCGTACTTTGCTACGGCAGCTTGGGCAATCAATGTGCACATGGCAAACACATCACTGTCTCATACAAACAGTGCCACGGGTAAGCAACTAATGAAGGTGCTGCAGGCGAGGCAATAACATGGAACTGGGAGATTAAAGTCTGCTCAGGGCCTTGTTCCGACAAATAAAGAGACGGCAGAGAGGAAGAGAGAGAGCGACAGACCCCGTCCCTCCCTCGACCACTCATTCCAGAACACACACACACATACACAAATTCGTCACTACGAAGAACACAAAGCAGACATAAGGGGCACATTGCCTTTGACAAAGCCAAGTTACGTCTATATTAATCATGCAGTTCTTCCTTGGAGGTTATTTCCCCCAATCAAACAAAATTTAACACAAACACTAAAACGGTTATAAAAGCAGACACAAAAACAGCTCTAATGACGTATCCGCTCGGCTGGCGAAGCTCTTTGTAAACTAGTAAGAAGGTCAAGCGTGTTTCTGTGCTTATCGTATTAACATGCTGTTCAAAAGCGGCTTAATTGCTGCTTTTTGACAAGACGACAAGTCTCAGAGCGAACAGACCCAGATGCTCGGCTAAAGAGGGAGACGTGACCGAAGAATCGCTTTTGAAGCTCATTTGGTTTTAGAAATAAGACTGGCGTCAATTACGCATTGGCACAGGTTGAGCTCCTCCAGAGTAGCTCTCATTAAGTTTTAATTCAAACAAGAGGGGTTGATGTATCAAGCCCCTAGACATTTCCTTCACAGACTCTGTGACATTTTGTGCCCACGCTTCGTTTTACGGCAAACACGACTGGCCTTTTCTCTCTTGCTTTTCCTTTTCTGATTTTCTCAAGTGTTCGCCCCATTGAGAGCGCCTCCTTTTGTAATTCAATAAACAGCTGTCAGAAAATGTAAGGCAAAAAAATGTGAAGGCTGAAAATGTGTAGACAAACTACACTGTGCTGCTAATTGTTTAGGGAGAATATTGCTGTGAAGAAAAAAAGAGAGTTATGGGTCATCTCATTTACCACGTATGAGAACGAGTCTTGACGCCTGATGCAAACAGAACAGGAGGAACAAAAAGAAGTCAACAAATCTGCTGATCAAAACCACTGGATTTATTTAGAGATAGATTTAGAGGTATACATCAACACTCGCCAAGCACCTTATGTGAGCAAAAATTGGTTTAATTGGTGAATAAATAACACATGCCAGTTGCAGTAGCGGCTCCTGACCGTAAATTTAGGTGGGGCAGATTCTGGGTGGTAGCGTGAGATGTCCTTGCGTTATACTGTGGGTGGCGCGCTAATGTTGATTGACAGGCTCGAAGTAATGTTACACGCATAAAATGCTGTATAATAATTGCCTTAGTAAACTAGTTACTGACCTGATGCAGACACATAGCTGAAGCAGACTGATATCGTCTTGGTGGAGCGAGGTTCACGTACGGTAATGTGAAAATAAGTGGGGCAGTCTCAAATCTGCCCCAATGGCTCTCAATTAGAGCGCGCTGCAGTTCCCCTTTTCACCACAGATTTACGTTGCAAAATTGTGGGGCGCTGTTGAGCTCGGGAGGTCTCAGGCACCGTCTGTCCCGCTTAGTATCATGCATACATGCCTGTTAAAGCCATGCGTGGGATTTTAATATATACTGCTTACTTTACGACTTAAAATAGTTGAACAAATTTACAATTTATTATTGATTCAGTTTA